AAACCCACCAGCCACTCCTCGGAAGGAAGGTTGGGCAATCCTACTTCCGTAGTGATACTGCCTCGGAAACCCAAGGAGGGGTCGCTATGAGTCGGGCTGACTCGACGGCACATAACAACAACAACAACAACATGAGTCAGAATTGACTGAATAGCAGTGGGTTTATAACTAATTTTAAAAGACTGTTCTCAGAGGTAGGTTTCTGCAATTTAATGTCAACAGGAGAAGAGATGGGAATGTATGAAATAAATTCCATATATTTTTCTTCAGGCTAACATTATTAATGACTTCAATAATAGTGTAGAAGGTATGTTTCAGAAATCAGCTGTTTTCACTAAGCTGCAGTGAATGTTTTTAAAAAGTGAATAATTCAGGATGTCATGTAAAGGTTAAGGAATTGAGTAGCTATATTGTCGCATTAGATTTCATTTCTTACAACCAAGGGCTTCACCCACCCACAGTTAAAGTGTGTTTTAAAGTAGCCTCTGTGGTTGATTATACAGACAAGGAAGAGGATACACACAGAAAAACCTTGATGAAGCCATGTGCTCTGGAAATATCTGTTGAGCTAGTTTGTGGCTTAAAACTCAAGGAAAAATTATAACAGACATTCTTTTAAATAATATTTCTTCTAATATTTTAAAAATGCCACAGAGTAATTGACAGGCTGTCTCTCTTCCTTTGAGCACAGGACTCTAATATTACTGATGTCTTTGTAACATGTAGCTCCTCTTAGCTTTCGATCAACTGGGGCAAGCTAATGCAACCAGAGTAGAATTTGTTTGTGAGACTCTTTGGTCCTGTATAACCCTTTGAAACTTCAGTTAGAAAGGTTTTTGTTCCAAGGATTCTTTGACCAGAAAGAAAGATTTTGGTGTTGTTGCAGAGAAGGTACATTACGATATCCGATTCAGTTTTTACCAGGCATAAACAAGCCTCTGTCAACAATTTTAAAAGAATTCTCTTCTGCCATTAAAGTCATTTATTACATCAGAGCCAGGTCCTTGACTTACCTACTTTTGAAAGGAATTCTGTCAAGAAATAAGAGTAGAATAAAAAGTTGTTTTACTACTACTTAGAAATTTGTTGGTTTATGGGAAGAAAATCCTAAAATACTTCTGATAGAAATTTTATCCTTTTAGAGAATAGAGAACCCTATTAATAGAGCATTTGGATGAGGAGTAGTTCTTGCATTGCTTTTAATTATTTGTTGAAAATTTTAGGTTATACATCAAGGTAAATCTCTTGATTCAAAGACCTATGAACATTATTTTGGAATAATTATTATTACTGGAAAATCATCAGCACTTGCAATTTTTGATTTGCTTATATCTCTTCCCATTCAGTGGATTAACTATTTAATAGTTAGGGCAAGGGCTCTTTCGTTCATTTTTATACCTCGTGCCCAGAGTAATGCTTAACGCAATGTAGACTACAAAGAAATACTTGAAATGAAATGTTTTTGTATGAATGTCTTTGGTTTATTTTCTTTCCTGTTTTTTTTTTTTAATTGTAAATATTTAAATTGATCTATGAACTTTGAAATCATTTAGTTCTGCCTTCTGATGAGTATAGTGTCCTTATTTAAACAGTTGCCTAACTATATAACATCTTCATCTAACTTGTGTTTGAACACTGAATGATG